ATCCCCCCAATGTTTCTGAGTTGTTGAATTCTGTTGTTTCTGTTTCATCCGTCCCTCAAGTATGGGAATGTTACATTTTACTGAATATTCTCATTTTTCAATCTACCTATGATGAACTTTAAGCCAATCCATTGAGATTTATTCTTTGAAATCAGTTTGTCATTTCTGAGGTAGTGCCCTAGCATCTTAACCATGTAATCATCTTTCACCAACTAACTCCAATTTCCTATGGTGCTATTAATTTTCCAAGCTTAATCATCTTTCACCAACTAACTCCAATTTTCTATGGTGCTATTCATTTTCCAAGCTGTACTTATCATTTTGTGTAATTTTTTTTTTCCTTTGATGAACTGAAAGAAGTGCCACTTCCTTTGATGAGTTTTTAGCCAATCCATTGAAAATATTTCTCTACTGAAATTAATCTGTCACTGCTGAGGCTGAGGCATATTATACAGATTTCTTTAAGTTATCATTCCAACAATATTTCTAGGCTCTAAGTTAGCTTTAATCATTGCACTGAACCAAGCTAAATTTTTAAATACTATCTTTAACTCCTTGGACTTAGAACCAGGTATGATGGCATTGTTTGAATCATCTATGCAAAAATTTTCATCGCCTAATCCAATGTGTTCATAACGACAAGTATCAGTGACGAGAGGAGGTGGATGATGAGTTCAATTTCGTACTCGTGTAATGAAGTATTATCATGAAATGAATCCATGACTGCTGATGAAGCACCCCTTGTCGTCACTCATTAAATATTTTTCCCTTCGCTTTGAAAAACACAATAAAAGGATCTCAAAATTAAAAATTGTGATGATGATAAATCTAACGTATGAGAAGTTCCTTTTTGGTCCTTCATGACATGAATTTGTCCCTACTGACACAATTTTGGCTAATAATATAAATAAATTGACTTTTCATATTACTTCCTTTATATTATAACAGAACACAGCAAATTATTTTAAGCAAATGATCACCAACTCTCACTGAACAATAATCTATGATGATTTTCTTTTCCACGTGACCAAATGAAGCATCTGCTTATGACTAGCTCTCTTACCAGAGGCTGTTTCTGAGATTATTCACAGTGCATACTGTCTCTTGTGTTGGAAAAGGTTTAAATACTTTTTACCGTTCTTCCATGGTTCCATAACTACTACAGCTAACTGCCTCTCAGTCAAATTGTATAAGAACCAGATTTTTAGTTCCGCTTGGAGAGAAATCCCACTTAGAGGACATTTTGTTCTCATGGAAAATCTGATGGGACCTTAAAAAAGTTTTAGAGGAAGTTCAGAGTATTTGACTCTTTTTTATTCCTTCTCCGCTTCTTCATTATTGTTGCAACTGATCCCTACTCCTAATGAAGGGAATACTCGAGTGAAAGTAGAATATTTTAATGGAAAAAACTCTGAATAATTTTATCTACTTTATTTACACATGACCTATGATGAATCATTTTTACCACGTGACCATATGAATTGCTATGATTTCAAACTCCTCACCAGAGGCTGTTTCTGAGGTTATACTTTGCTTTTCAGTCTATCAAATCTCGGCAGACCAGCTTGAAATATCGCAACAGCCGTATTAATTACTTATTCTGGGAATGCCGATAGTAGTTGAAGAGAAGCCTGCTGATGGCAAGCAATGAATTTCAGCCAGAAATTTTAGCTTGTGTAGAGATCTTTTAAGATTTCCATGACCTATATTGACAACAATTTTCTTGTTTCAGCTCCAACACCAGCAAAGAAAGCAGCTGTCAAGAAAGATTCAGACTCCGATGAGGATTCTGATGAAGATGAAGAAGAAGCTGCCCCTCCAATGAAAAAAAGCAAGAAGGAACAGCCTGCGCTCAATGGTGTAAGTAACCAAATTTGCCACCCATTATATCATTTAACAACAAATAAATCAGCTGTATTTTGTCCTAGTGTCGAGGAGCTTTTTTCTATTATGGTTTGGTGTTCATCAAAGATATTAATAAGTATTCAATTTGCCACCAGAGATTACCAATTTTGGAATGATAATGAGGAAAAGGTGAAAGCTATTTAATCAAGAGGAAAACTGAGTGGAAGTTTTGAAGATCCAGGAACCAAAAATTTATGGAGGAAGAGAAAGTCAGAAAGTTACAAAATCTTGAAATTGAAACCCCTGAGTATGCAAGTATTACTAGGAGCGGTAGCGACCCCGTCAAGCCTATAGAGATCTCCAACAACAAAAATGGGAGCCGCTACTGTATCTTACACGAACCCGTTCAACTTTTATAATTGAACCGAAATTTGTTGGAGAAGACGACATCTGCACCTGTCAAAGCGATAGCTCTCTGACAAAGTATTCTTACAAACTTGTTGGCAGATATGCACCGATCGAGCAGAAACCAGTTAAACCTAGTTAACAGAATCATAAAATGTCACATTTTGCCATATGCAGATAACAGCTAACAGAAAGAACTCCATGGGATGTGAAACAAAATTAGCCAAGGGGCCCCGAGTATTAGAAAACTTTAAGTAAAGTGTCAAGAAAGGCCAATTTTAATTTTTGCCATGAGGGAAAAATGCCACAGTGCTGAAAGTGGTCGTGCACAGAAACTCTTTGCAACTCATCCCGTGCGCTTACAGTCTTGCCTTACCCATCTGGTTAGGAGCTTCAGCCTTGATGTAGGATCCTCTGTTTCAATTTCCTAATGGGATTTTATTCATTTGTGCCAGTTACCTTATTGAAGACATTGATTGTTACAGAAACAGAAATTCGGCGGTGGCGGAAATGATAACAAGTACAACAATTTCGTCAAATCCAATGTAAGATCTAGATTATTTTCTATTTTATAAATTTTTCCCCTTTCCTTCTCTGTTTTTTATTGCCTATTTAAGGTAGCGAAACTTTGAAAATTTAACCTGTGAGCTGTCAGAGCTCTTGTGTCAGGAGACTGCTAATTTTGAACAGTTATGCTGCTGTCAATCAATGTGTGGCGCACAGACCCTCCAAAAGATTAATTGCAGAGAACCAATTGCATGTGGCCATGCATTACATGCATGTGGCCACTAAGAACCACTAGAATGGGCCTGTTGCAAACTTTTACTAGAGCAAAACTAAGAATTGTTTTTTATAGATAATGCCTCAAAAATCAAGATGAGCTTATCGGCAAAGTCTGAAATGCACTCATAACTTCACAATCTGTGTAAGAAATTTGCGGGTTTTTGAGCTTCCCGCTTCAGAAACGATATTACGGCACAGTTGAACATTTTGTTAGAGGAGTCGTTCCATCGTTAGCAATACTCATCATGACCAACGCCAATCCGCCGAAACACACACGTGTGATGGGACGAGATAACACCTGAACACGATTAGACCAGATAACAATCGGCGTGTTTATGTTCATATTTTCCTCGCCCGCCTTGATTGACCATGTACCCTCCTCGAATTAGGCGCGGAACTGCGCAAGCGTCGATCATGGTGAATATTGCGGACGATGGAGCAACTCCTCTAACAAAATGTTTACTTGGGCCGTAGTCTCGTTTTTGAAGCGGGGAGCTCAAAAAACGCTAATTTCCTATGCAGATTGTGAAGTTATGAGTGCATTTCAGACTTTGCCGATGCGCTCATTGTGATTTTTGAGGCATTATCTAAAGGAAACAACTCTTATTTTTGCTCTAGTAAAAGTTTGCCATAGGCCCACTGTGGTGACGGAGGGTTTGAAACCCTCCAATTCTGTCGTTTTTTTCTGGCCTGATAGTAACAATTTTGCAATGTTCATCAGCAGTGTATAAGTTAAACATGAAGTGAAATGAGAAAAAATTTTTGTTAATGGAAAATCAGTCATTTCAAGATTATTTAACGAGTAATCCATGTCAATAAAGAAGTAATTATAAATCAGCTGTTGTAAGCAAAGAGCTCTAGTAACTCTTTTATTATTTCATTAAGCTGTGACATCAGAAAATTGATTAATGGATGCTGTGGCGGCCGTTTGATTTATCATGGAATTTTACTCAATTGTCAGCCTCGTGGTGATAATCTTCTCCGATCAAGCGAAATCGATAGAATCAAGAAACTTTTGACCCTTCAGTTTGGAGGGAAGAGAGTATTTAGGTATGATGTAAATAATGAACGAGTTATCATTGGAATGCTAACTTGATTACTCAAAAGCCGTGTTCTATCATAGCCCTTTTTAAGAGCCATCCAGGATTTTTTAGGGGTCATTCTTCATGAAGGAACAAGAACTTGGCACTGAAGAAGATCTCAACAGAAAATAAGTTAACAAATACTGTGTAGGCCCCAATTTTGCAATTTTTGAATTTGATCGGATCAGTTTCTCTTTAACTTATCTCTTTTAATTTTTCTCATCTAGAACAATAACAATAGTAATGGGCAACCAGAAAGTAATCAAAGACGGTACTCTGAACCATTCCGAAGGGTGCGAGAAGAAGAGATCGCTGTTGATCCAAAATTTGCCGACAACTCATTTGAGGCCAAGGTAAGGCGCCCACAGAGTCACAACTTGCTGGCCTGACCGAGTCATGGAGCAAAGCAACTGCCTGTTTTGACTATGTTGGCGCCCACTGAGCACTCTCGGAATGTATCAGTCAGTCAGTCTGTCCCCTTTAAGTTTAAGCAGTTGTCTTGTGAAGTGTTCGGTCAGGACCATACTAATCTTACTTCTTTTCCAAAAATAGGATGACTGGAAAGAAAACGGCAGAGGCGGTTTCCGTGGAGGCCGTGGTGGCCAGCGGGGCGGCAGAGGAGGAGGTTTCAAGAAGTTCGATGGTGAAGACGGGGGCAGAAAGAGTTGGGGTGGAGAAGAAGGCGGATTCCGGAAAAGCTGGGGCAACAAGGGAGAAGGTGGAGAAGAAGGAGGGTTCCGAAAAAGCTGGGGCAATAAAGGAGAAGATGGAGAGGACGGTGGCTTCAAAAAGAGTTGGGGCAACAGAGGGGGTGGAGGTGACAGAGGTGGATTCAGAGGTGGTCGAGGCGGCTTCCGTGGAGGAGACAATGAGGACGGTGGCTTCAGGAAAAGCTGGGGTGGAAGTGGAGGCGACCGAGGCGGGTTCCGCGGTCGAGGTGGCCGAGGGGGTGGTGACAGAGGCAGGGGAGGAAGAGGAGGCTTTGGTGATAGGCGAGGAGGAGGTGGTGACAGAGGGGGTAGAGGAGGATTCAATAGGAACTCATTCGGTGGATCAGACAGCACTCCACAGAACAAGAAAATTACATTTGACGATTAAGTGGTGAGTTTTTCTATGTTGACTCCCTTTTGAAGGAAATTTATCATCCATGTAACATCCAACCTAAATTGTCAGCGTAATATTCTTAAGAAGCATTTTAATACCTTCTTGTAACATGATGAATCCAACTTGATTGTAATATTAATTACCTGCTCTCCTTTTCCCCCCTCTTTTTTCTTTTCTAATTACTGAAGAGCCGGGTCTTCCCATCTCACAGCACCGGGTCTTCCCATCTCACAGCGGTCGGGTCGGTTAGGGGTCGCTTCGGCGGCTCTTCACCAGCTGATGGTCGTTGCCGTCCCGGTATTCGGTGGGCCCTTTTCATGAGGGGCGTCTTGGCGACCCTCATGATGGGGGCACTGTAGCGAATTTTTCCCCTCATCACAAAAAAAAAAAAAAAAAAAATTACTGAAGAGGCTCGATTTACTGACTGGATGCATGATTGCCCCTGTGAGAAAGGGATAAAAAGTTTGACAAGTACCTACGAGTTCCAACTAATTTAATCATTACCATTCATAAGCTTATTCTTGGAATTTCCCTTGCATCATGTAGCCAAGTGCATGCAGGAGACAAAAAATTTCAAAAATCAGTCTAGAAATTCAATGGTTTTGATGCGAAAAAGCTGACCTCTCCACCAGGCTGTTGTATTTTCCAGATGTTTTCACTGTTCCCAAAGAATCCTGTTTATGAAGCTTTAACTACTCCATTTCATTATAATCTATATACTTGGGAATAATCTGAATAGTGCTCAAATCTCATTTTTGTGTTCAAATGATGATATTTTTCAACCACCAAGATCTCTGACAATCTTGACGAGACTCTTCGTTCTGATGAAATTAAAAAATAAAAAAATCCCATATTAAACATTCAATAAATATTGGTCCTAAGAAACTGATTCAGAGTTAAATACAATTGAAAGTAAAACCTCTCACCATTTACTCTGCATAGCATCTAGAAAACTTGTTGTCCATATGATGATATCTATTTTTTTTAACCACCAAGATCTCTGATTACTTTGTGTGATTAAACTATTCCTCTGAAGGACACGACTACCGTATCAAATCTAGCCTCTGCGTAGTATCCCAACAAGTTTCCCATTTTTACTACATATGTAACAAGTTAATATGAATAACCCTCAATTTTTTAAGAATGGTCATTCATGAGTCATGGCTCTGATACCAGGGTTCGTTCATTACAGATTCCACTTTGTCGAAAGAATGAAGTAGATGAGAAAATCTAATGATGATATTTTCACTACCACCAAGAACTGAAACTTTTGATGTTCCTTTTACCTCTGAAAACTTCTCACTCAACATTCTTTCTTCGTTGTCATCCTAAGACACCTTAACCGCTTCCCTGTAAAAAAAAATTTTATCAAATATTCTTTATACATATTCAAAAATGCCTCTATAATCTTCTAGCGATCCATTTACTTGATTTACCATGATTACTGGGGAATTGTATTCCTTCAATTTTCATTCATTTCCATAGCATTGAATAAATCGACGAAAAAGCGAGACCAGGCCATTTTTATAAGTAAGCAAGGTTTTCAACTTAGTGAGGAGTAACTGGACTGCATTTTGCAATTAGGAACCTCAATTTTTAGCGCAGTTTAGGTACAGTGTATGTACCATTAGTTTCCCCATGCAAGTAAGTGTTTTACCAAGTGAGCCAGACATGTTTCAATTGTAGTTCCCAATTGCAAAATGTTTTCGATCTGTTATGTTCAAGTGCAAAAAAATCTTGGCTTAAGCATTGTATATACCTCCTTTTCTGTCTTCATGCTAACATTTCTATTCTTCTCATGCATTCTGTTTGCTCTTATAATAGAGCACATTGCTGATAAGGATTGGCCCCAAAAAATATTTAAGCAACTCCTCAATAACCTGATCCTTTAAAGCTGAATGATGGAATGTGTAAATGTTTCATAAATAAGTCGATAGCCATAGATGTTTCAAATGATGATTACTTATTATTCGCAACCACGGTCTGAAACCTTGATGTCATTTATTAATCTGATGGAATTTCTATGACCATGTTATGTATTCAAATAAGTCTTCTCATTTTTCACTTTCAATGACCTAGAAATGGTTCATTAACATGATGATTTTATTTATTTCGCAACCACGGTCTGAGAACGTTGATGCCAAGTACTCATCTGATTTATATGAACGCCTAAAACTAGGTTGCCACAGACAGGGAATTTTAAAAAGTCAAAGATAGTGTTAGGGAAAAATCGTTCAGTCATTTTATTTGCTTTCCAGATGGATTTGACGTTTTAAGCAACAAAGTTCGCCTGTAAACTATTTCAAATTTTTTTAACCATCTGGCACATCTTCATTTGTTCTGTGGTAACCCTGATTTGTTTTTTAACTTAAGTGATATGACAAAATAATTTGACGGTTCTGTCTGTGATCCCGAAAGGCCTGTGGAACTAATTTTATTGTTTTTTATTTGCAGCGAGGATCTCGCGGCAGCTGGGGTGAAAAAGCTGCTTTTGACCTGAAGATGACCCGAGGAAAGTCGTTCAAGCACGAGAAGACAAAAAAGAAAAGAGGAAGCTACCGAGGAGGTCAAATCTCCACTGGTGTGCACTCAATACGCTTTGATGACTAGAGCCCGTTCGCACTGACTGTAAATTTTGTAAATATCTTTGTATATATTCTCCCCGGTCCCCTCTCTCTGTTAACACTTTGTCTCAAGCTTTAGCCACCAGGTGGAATTCAGAGCTTGTCCGCTGTGAATTTTGTTACGTTTTGTGGTGCTGACCGACAGATGCTGTATTCGTGCCGCTGTCATGCACCAGCGTTGGTTAGCTTCCTCCAAGTTCGACTATATCTTTTCGAAAAACTTGATTTTTTAGGCCCCGAATACTGGCGGGTCTTTAACCATAGAAAGTGGTTATATTGTGATTTAACTTTGAAAGTGATTAAACTCTAAGGGAGCTCTATCTCTTTTGAAATGCATTTTCTCTTCCCCTGATCATGTCTCAAATTGGGAGGAGGGTTGCCAGTTCTATTTTTTTTATTCCTATCATGGCCATTTTTATTATTTTAACTTTCATTTTACGAAGTTTCCAGTCTCACCTTCATATTTTTACATTGGAATATTATTTTAACACATAATTCAAGGCTAACCCGGTGCATTCATTTTCTGCCCCTATCTGAAGTCTTCTTGCTGTGTTATACTGGAATTGGCATGGTCAGCCCCCCCCTCCCTGATCTCGTTCCATTTGATTTTATCTAACGAGATCGTTTTACCCATAATTCATCTCAGGTTAATCTTTTGTCATTCTCCGATATCATCAGATCCTAAATATCTATGGAGTTCTATAATTTTCTGACTATTCTTTTAAGCATTTTTTGTGCTATCTAACCTCACAATTATTTTGATCGAATCCTCTAAATGCTGATCCTTTATTTTGTTTAAGTTCCTCTGAGGTCAATTTTGTTTATTTGCCACCATTTAAGCTCGGCGGTTTCTTGTCTTAATATATATCTTTTACACTGGAAGGTCTGTATTGACTTTGATGTATTTGTGACATTGTGGAAGTTTAAAAGAACCATTTTAAGATAAATGAATATTTTCTGCCCTGTATCATAGACTATTTTTGTTGATTAAACATGCGCTGATTGATTTGATAAATTATGGTACAAATTTATTTCATAATTTCTCTCCATTAAGTTTTTCTGGTCGCTCTTTTTCATCTTTCAAATGAACGATTCTTGATCTGTTACTTGAATATTCTGAATGAACCACAGATCATCTTGGCATCCAATAAATTAAATTCGACGAGGGCGGCAACCTGTTTTAATCTATATAGAATGCACTCAATAAGTGCTGGCTCATCATGAAAACGAGGATAATTCAAAAGCAAATGCTCCGGTCAATTTTGGTGTATGTAGGTGTCAAGATCGGTGGAGCACTAAAATTAGTCCATTTTCATAGTATGCTATTAATACAGCGTTTGTTGTCCTTCGTCTACATTCTTCAAGCCAAGATGTGAATAGTTATATTGGTTTACTTTTCTCCCTAACTGTTAGTTCTTCACTTGCCTTGAAATTGTTTTATCTTCGATGAAATAACGAAATATTAGAATATACTTAGAATTACCACAGTAGAAAATAAAACGTCGTAAAAGGATGTGTGGACACATTTGAAATGCCACTGGCTTAAACCGGTTAGAAACAATCAACATTTTAACTAATATCTTCTTGCACCATCTATTATCCTTTAAATTTGAATGCACTTGAACATTACTTCTCAATTTCATAGGTATCATGATCCAGAGATCTCACTGTACAACAGAAGCTCATGAGAATACAATTTATTTGTCTTCAAAAATTAACAAAAATCATTAGCACCAAAAATTAACAAAAATCATTAGCACTATTGAAATCAATTTGAAATCCAAAATTTTGGACTCTAAGCCCAAGCTGTGTTTTCAGTTATAAAGGAATGGAAAAAATTTTGAATCGTCTTTAATATAAAGAATTAATGTGTTTCTCCAAGAACAGAACTCATCATCTGAAGGTGTTAAGTGTTGGAGGTGTGCGAGGGAGGATAGCGCTCATCCTTGCCTGCAAACTCTCTGCAAAACAGTGTTTATCAGGCCTGTAAACATTCCCGTAGCATCTTTGTCTCGCGAGTCCAATTTTTCTGCTGAACATGAGCGGCTAGAATCCGTTGCTGCTTTTCCATTGATCAGTATTTTTTCGCTCTCTTTCATCAAATCGAATAGCAGCATTTGCTTATCCAAAATTGGCACCGTCAAATTGAATTTTCCTGGAACGGTAAATAATAAAATTTAAAGAAAATTCCATTGTTTAACCTAATTCAGTTATCTTTCACAAAGATGATGATCACCAAGTAGTTAGTGGGCCAAATTTTAGAGAATAGTTTGATATGTACGGTGAAATCTTCAGTTTTTAAAATTGAGAACGTACATAAATTCTTACTAAAAATAAAAATTACAAGCCATCTCTATTCAAGAGATAATAACATTAGTCTTTATCAGCTGCTGCAATGAATGTTGTTCCTATGACAAAATTGTGAGATCTCATTTGCTTGATCATGAGATTTATCAGCACAGATCTCTAACACTCAGTGACTGAGTAAAGAAGGAGATGTTTATATTGCGAACATCTTGGAAAGAGGTCGATGAGGCAAGTAGGCACAACTTTTTTCACAGATTTTCTTAGAAGCAGTGCAGGTAACAAATCTCAAGATGACAATGGTGCCCAAACGAGGTACAACATGCACCTCGAACTCAGATAGTTTTTCCACAATAATTCACAGTGTATCTTTAAATGCCTAAGGGGGTGAATAATATTCTTAAAGTACATATGCTTATAGCACATATGATAGCCAGTTTTGGGCCCTGCTCTCAGTTAATTAAAAGGGAGAACGGTTTTTTTTCGCATACTGGGGAATTGACATTCTGGAGATACACGGTGTCACATTTGGACCATTGGATATGATGTTTCTCAACACAGTAAGATCCCTCTGTGGAACCACTTGTCACTGGATGCTGCATTAACCATAAAAGAATTTCTCGCAACCTAAAAAGGTTTCTAGTTGGTACAAAGTTAATGCCTTTAAGTCCAAATACTTTTACTTGTGACTAGGAAAGTTTTGAAGAGCAATTTCTCTACTGATAACAGGAATGAAAGATCACATCAAACCTCCCTAAATCTCCATCCTTCAAGATGCGTAACGCAATCTTAAAATATCTTCGGTACTTGTCCAAACACTTGAAAAAGGGGAAAGTAGTCTCTGCAAAACTTTACCCACCTATCTTCTTGTTGAGCTTTTCCACTTGATCCTCAAGTTTCATAACGCTGTCTCGCCATGAACGCTCCTCTTCTTTCGGCAGAGGATGTGCCCCATAATTAGCTCGCATTCTTGTTAGCATTGACCGAATATGATCAGAATCGTCTCTTATCTCTTTCTGCAGTGTGATCCATGTTGGCATGAAACCGTTATCAATCATTATCTGTAAAAAATCATTTTAAAGTTGTTAGAGTTTTGACCGAAAAATCATTTATTAAAATGAAAGGTAAAACTCGACCTTTTTCGATCATTCCATGCTAAACTTACTTAAGTGTCCAAAATTAAATTTGCCAAGTACCTTTTAATACAAACTAATCAGGACTGTCTAAATTTTCTATGACTCATTTCTCACACTCTCGGGAACATGGTATGCTCTTGCCGTCGTTCATGTAATGCTCTGCTCATTCTGTAACCATTTCTTTTCTTCTGTTTAATGTGAATTTTCGGACAAGCTAGATCTGAATAATTACAAATTCAAATGTTTTCCTTAGAAAACTTAAAATCTTACCTGGTTCATTTTGTGAGTTGAAAAATCTATGTATGGATTGTATTCATTTAATTGTTTCAACGGTTTCCCTGATCCTTCTAAATTATCGAAGTCACCCCGTGCCATGGATTCTTGGATTAGGTCTTCAACCAACCTTTCCATACCGTATCTGAAAACAATTAATCAGGTTGTAAGGGCTATTTGCCATTTGAAGTTATTTAACCTCATTCAACACTATTTTCATTGTGTAAAAGTTCTTTCACAATACCTGAGAGAACTTACCATCTAATCGAGGAGGTGGTAGATATTAGCCTAAAATATTCTAAACTAGGTAGTCAACTTTGCCTCAGGTGTATTGCTGAATCTATGTACTCAATTTTTACCAAGTCATAATTTTAAGGCGATCGCATACAAACTAGGGATATTAAATATTGACTTCTTGCCAAAGAGGAATAATCAATAGGTGTCTTTTGTGCCTAATAAATACTTAGAATTTCCTTACTTTAATATTACGCAGCATGCAGAATTTTTTATTGATGAAAAGACAAAATTTCAAAGTTAATTAATTATTTTTGTATAATTTCAATTTTTAAATAAAAAATTTTGACTGAAAGAGATGCAAATAGTCGTAAGGAGTACCTTGTTAATCCGTCCTTAGCTTTCTTTTGGTCTTGCACGACAAGTGAATTTTCATCATCAAACGATTTTGTAGCTTCATCCAACAGCTTCTGAATTCTCGCAATTTTGTGATCAAAGACTTTTTCCATAGCATTTGCAGCTTTAATCTTTTGATGTTGTCTCTGTCTTTCCAAAGGGTTGCCGCGCCCGTCTCCATTCAATGTAAGGTATTGCCGATGCTGTGGAGCTGTGTGCTGAAAATGATAAAAAACTGTCGTGATAGCAATCTCCCAATTTTCACCTTAGAAAAGGCTTTATTTTAAAATATACTACCATCCGATCTTTTGTTCAAGTCTGCCCGGTGAATTCTTCAGGTCTTTTCTTCTTTTCCTTCTTCACAAGAATTATTCAATCCCTAAGATTTTCTCTGCACTGTATGAAAATTTTCTAAGCTGTTCAATTTTTTTTATCAAAAGTCAAAAAAGAAGAATGATTGACTGACGAAATATCTTTCATCAGAAACCAAGGCAATCATAGGTAGGTGATGCTCATTTTACATTTCAGAATTTAAGAAATACAACTCACCTTAATATCAAATTCTTGGACCTCATCATTATTTACCCTTCTCCTCTTTTCTTGACGGTAGGTACCAAGATTTTGGTCGCCTTCATCGCGCATTTCTTTGATCTTGTTTCGTAGCATACGGTAGGCATGCTCTATCTCTCGAAACTTCTCTGTGCTCCTCTTTGGTGAATCACTATCTGGGTGATACTGCTTGGCAAGGGTAACAAAAGCATGGCGAACGACCTCCTGATCACTCCCATCTTTGACTCCCAGCAAACTGTAATATTTCCTGTATTCTTCGTCTTTAGCCGGCAGTCGGAATTCACGCATTGACACGTAAATGTGTTTTGCCGAGACTCGGCAAGCTGATGGTATGCCGTTAAACATCTTCAAAAACTCAGGACCTGCAAATTTTATCATATCAATCTTACTCTAACGTAGCATGTGATGTAATTCAACTGGGGACCCAGAATTACCAGATAATTGGGTCTAAAATTCCGAATTTCAGCATGACGCCACAAGGAACAGATTTGACAAAAATCAGCTTAATTGCATTGAGCGTTGCCTAATTTCCTGTTGTGATTTTTATTTTAATGTAGGTACTTAATGAATAGAAATGCCGCCTCAAAACTCTCTAGACCATATAACTGGCGTCGTCGGGGATAAATTCACAAGGGCAAGTCGGAATTTTGCTTGGTTTTCTATTTAAAAAATGAATCATGAGAGGAAATTAGACTAAGTCTGATAATGGTAATCTGATTCTGACTTATTAGTCTGTTTATTGATGGTTCCCAATTATTACTATTTGATCAATAGTTTCCTGGTAGCAGCAACTGTTGAGAGAGAGGAAAAAAAATCCTAAAATTTAAAAAGTCACCTCTTAAAGAAACCAACAAAATCTGTTTTGTAGAGAATTCTATTTATGGGTAGGTATTTTTAGGTAAAATTTACGGAGGTAAGATTAAAGAAAAACAATGTTATAAGAAACTCATAAAAAGTACTTAAAAAATAATTCTTAAAAGCACGCACTGTAAGGTATCTAGAATTTTTGAGGAACATGCTGAAAAAAGTGGTATGTAATTTTTTGTAAAAACTTTACCGTAAATTTTACTAATAAAATAACCAGAATATGTTCACAGAAAAATATTTTCAACAGTTTTTTAAGAGTTTCCCAGTTATCGCAAAGTGCTTTTCAAAAGTCATTGCAACCAGGGTTCCGCTCTGCATAATGTAACTGGCAAAACATCATACTCCTATCCCTTTTATGTCATTTCTGCAACATAACTATCCGAGATGGGGGATGGGGGGAGAAATGTACTTATACGACTAGCTAGGAAAGGTAACTAACGATGACCCCTTCAAAACTTCCCAGTCGTCAAAAATGCCCAAGTAGGAAAATTTGCCAAGATCATTTTTGAAGGCGAAACTTAGCTCAAAATACAGAGGCTACAACTCACCTTTCACCTGCTACCCTCCGACGGCACTTTCCGGCACGCACCTCGACAGAACAAGATGCTCCTGTTCGCAAGACGAACCGCGAAAGACTACACGTGGGGTCATCATCAAATTTAAGTAGAGTGGCAGGCTAACCATAAATAAAAAATAAACGACGCAGTTGCTGAAAAAAAATTTCGCATAGGTAAACGTAGCAAACTTTGACCGGGCAGATATCGCCACGATCTGACTACCTGCCGCCTACTCATAGCCCGTAGGAATTTTCCTCCCAAAAGCACCTGCTCCCCTCGTGTTGGGTCCCGTGTAGGAATTTCCCTACACTTTTACCGACCTCGCTAGCTGTTGCTGCCTTGCCAACTTTCTTGAAAAATTGAAACAAGTAGACAGCTGTAAGGAAATTTCAAATTCTTACGTAAAAAGGCGTAACTGTTCGACGGTCAAGAATCTCACGCATCTATTTCGTAAAAAACTAGGTATACAAAAAAATTGCTGGGGTGACCTGGATTTTTTAAGACTCTTTCTTTTAAATAACGATAGTTCTCATTCGAGTCTACCTATTTTACTTTTATTTTCACGAGTTTTCTTCTAATTATTGTTTTTTGTTTTTTTTTTTTTGTAAATTTTACTCAAGTACTCTACCAGGGTATTTTTTCTTCCCTCCCCCTCCTCCCCCTCCAAAAAAAAGAAACACAGAATTTTTGGGAATATCTACTTCTTGCTTTCTTAAATGAAATTAAACGGACTGTGACAGAAATTTTCAAACTTGATAAACACTTACCTCATCGATTCAACCAGGAATTTAGTATTATTTATCTTTCGCTGATGTCAAAAAATGTGATTACTTTCAAAGTTGCAAATCTACTCTCAGATTTTATTTTACGAAAGAAAATTAAGTACCTTTTTACGGTTTCCAGGGCCGGATTAAGGGGCGGCGGGGTGGCCACATGGGCCGCGGCCCATGCCGGCAAATCTACAGGGGGCGGCAAATTTTGCAATGTGATTAAATTTACGTATAAAAAAAAATTCGGATTTAGAAAAAAAAATTACAAACGTGAAAAGGCGACAAAATCTCTAATTTTCTGAGAGTATAGTAATTTCTACTTTTGTCGTCTTTCAGTGATACAAGAGGCAGCACCTTTAATTAGTCGAGTTAAGAGAGAAATCGAACACGCAATTTGGCCTTGAATGGCGCGACTTACCTAGTGAGAAATGATGACGAGGACTAGGGATGCAAAGGAGAAGCCCTCGGCGCGGCGATCGGCATGTAACACATATTAGCGCCTACAAGACTGCACGAATACTTCACGCATTGCATCAAACACGGTGCGGTCATTGCGGACGGCGTGAAACGGATAGCGCCTACAAGAATGCATGAATACCTCACGCATTGCGTCAAACACAGTGCGGTCTGCGAGGCGTGGCGGCGGAAGTTAAAATCATTACCTAATCCACATTTATGTTTGTTCTTTCATAACTTTTTCGTTCATTTCTTATGAGTGGAAGGCCTTGTCCACACAGAGAAAGGTTTACGAAACTTAACTTTCGCAAAGTTCCGTGAACTTTTGCTAGTAGTGTTGACAGGGCTTTCGCAAAAAATGTGTCCAACACGAGTAAACGCGTCGTATGCACCCCTCCCCCGCTGGCACGTTCATTTGTTGGTTTTCATTGATGTGTCAAAACGAATGAGAAGGGGGCGGCGAAATACTAGCGGCCCATGGGCGGCAAGTAGGTAAATCCGGCCCTGACGGTTTCGCTTGAATTCGTCTGAGAATCAGTTTCCCTCTTGAGTCTTTAAAACTCTTCGGGGAGAATTTTAAAAAGAAATTGTGATCAATTTTCCCTTTAGAAGAAGGAATTTTAGCTATAATCCCACAATTGGGGACCGGAGACCAATGCCAAATGTTGCCTGCCGCAACTTCGTTGCGGGCACCCTCACTTTAAGTTCGTCACGGCGCGGCGTTTAGATGCAACTATTCAAACTCGACGATTGCCTGTGTTGCATAAGCAAAAATTTGAAGGCGCGTCCGCGTCCTTTGCTCTCGCGATGAGAAACAACGTAGGTGCACGTTCACGACAAATCATTTTAAGTGGTTTCTTTCCAAATCAATACGTCGGATCATGATAGTAGAGTAAGTATTGAACGCAGAGAGAAGATTAGGTATTCAAAACGAGGATTTTTGCATACCTAGATATCCTAATATTCTATTTGAATTATAATACGTTGTACCTACCCATCCAAACGTAGGAAAGTATGACACTCTTTTTCTTCAAATTGCCACCCTGGGAAAAATGTCCCTTCCGTTCGACAGCNCTTTCGAATTGTTGCATTCAAAACATCTATAAATTTTTTTTGAGGGGGGCAGATGATACTTTTCAATTCTAGGGAGAGCCGGGCCCCCCTGGACTCCCCTTTCGTACGTCTATGGCAAGGGAGTTGAGCCATTGAAGTCGAGGATGCCCAGACAGGAGCCTCTTAGCATTCGACAACGGAAGAAAATGAAACGCATGTTACTAAAAATATCATTCTACATGTACTCAAAATTTTGAAAATAGATAGAAATCTCTAAAAAAGTAAGAAAAATTGTATAGTGCCCTGGCGTGTTTTTGAAACTTTATTCACCTTTTGCGGAATTTTTAGGGTATTTTTTTCACTTTTCCTTGCGAGACAAGGGTTACAAATGAATTCGTAGTGGTTTGTCACCTGCGTCACGGGGCCCCTCCAGGGCCCGGGCCCCGGTACCAAGGACCCAGTATCCCCCCCCCTTGTGGCGGGCCTGTTCACGACAAATCATTTTAAGTGGTTTCTTTCCAAATCAATACGTCGGATCATGATAGTAGAGTAAGTATTGAACGCAGAGAGAAGATTTAGGTATTCAAAACGAGGATTTTTGCATACCTAGATATCCTAATATTCTATTTGAATTATAATACGTTGTACCTACCCATCCAAACGTAGGAAAGTATGACACTCTTTTTCTTCAAATTGCCACCCTGGGAAAAATGTCCCTTCCGTTCGACAGCGTTGCCAAATTTGAACCTTTAAAATTGTACAGCTCGTCGAGAAATTATGATGTGCGCTAAACATTTTCCAAGAAATAGTGCTTATATTTATTTCGAATCGGGAATTGTCGCCGAGTGAAATTATAGCAGAAACAAACAAATCGACGGTGTAAGATGGCAATCACATAACTCGGTTTGCGTGGTCACAGACTTCCTATACCTAATACATAAATGTGCACAATATTGACTATAATACATATCGAATCATTTGGCAACACTGTCCCGCCTCCGCCAACGTTTATAAGTGCCTCTTCAGAAATAGATACGAACTAACAAATGAAATATTTTGATCTTATGTCATAAGGCTGAGTAACATATTAAATTATAAACAGACCGGCAATATAATAATAAACCAGTGGCGTGGCATGCGCTTTACGATCTATCGATATTTCCCCATTTGAACCTGTGGTAAATAATCGATCATTAAGGCGTTCGCTGCGAACACCCTGTTTATCGATACTTTTCCATAGGTTTAAATGACCGATCACTTGATATATCGCAAAGCACGCCACGCCACTGTAATAAACGAGGTCATCGGTCACTTTCCATGGGTGAAAAATCTTATATAAGCATCGAGGAAAATTAGAAAAATTGTGTCCCGCAGCACTTAGGATTTGGACGGGATTTTCCTCGTAACCCCCCCCCCTCCCAAGCAAGCAAAAAATTGTTCTTAACCATCTCTTGTTGATAAAAGTACCTGCGAGGAAGGAGCCATATTGTGAAACATGAGAGGCAAGCATTATTAGAAACCCGTTTTTTTTTATTCTTTTTACTAAATTAAGAAGGTAGGTAGCACTTTCCTCCTGAGGTGGCATTGCGAGAAAATCGAGAAATTGACGGCTAAATTGGAAAAATATCTCCGATTGCGACGGTGCAGATCTCCACTCAAGATTTATTTTTTTGAGAGAAAACGAACCACGCTTTTTTTTTTTAAATTCTCGGTGAATTTTCTTCACTCTTTTCAAGAAATTAAAAAATACTCGGGTAATATCAGGAGGCGGTTAAATACACTTTTTTCTTTCTTTTTTTGCAAAAATGAATAACATAAAAGATTTTTAAACGTTGCTATAAAGAGGCATTTTTTGGTTTCAGCCATAGTGCATCTAATATATACTTAGATTGACGAATGCATAATTGAAGAATTCCTGTATGTAGCTTTCTATCAAGGTAAAAACAGGAAGCAACAGGGGTAGATGGTAGAGAGCGAAATTTTGGATGAAAAAATTGATTTTAGGGCCGAAATTCGCGATTCTGTCACCTGGGCGATCCTTGATCTGCGCTACTCAGTGGCGTTCTAATGAGTTGAGCTCTTTAATAATGAGTCCCTGCTATCAGGGCCGGATTTACTTATTGCGCGCCGCCCATGGGCCGCCTGTATTTTGCCGCCCGCTTCTCATTCGTTTTGAAACATCAATAAGAGCCACCAAATGAACGTGCCGGAGGGGGAGGGGTTCATAAGACGCATTTACTCGTGTTGGACACATTTTTTGCGAGAGCCCTGTCAACATTATACTAGCAAAAGTTCACGGGCGAACTTGATGCGAAAGTTATGCTCCGTAAACCTCAACCTCTCTCTGTGTAGACAAGGCCTTCCACTTATATGAAATGAACGTAATAATTACAGAACAAACATAAATGTGGTATAATAATTTTAACTTCTGCCGCCGCGCCGCGCTTACCGCTCTGTGTTTGGCGCAATGCGTGAAGTATTCCTACAGTCTTGTAGGCGCCATGCGTTTCACGCCGACCGCTGCTGCACACACTGCGTTTGACGCAATGCATGAAGCATTCATGCAGTCTTGTAGGCGCTAAGCGTTTCACGCCGACCGCTGCTGCACACACTGCGTTTGACGCAATGCATGAAGCATTCATGCAGTCTTGTAGGCGCTATGCGTTTCACGCCGCCCGCTGCTCACCGCAGCGACCGCACTGTCTTTGTCGCAATGCGTGAAGTATTCATGCAGTCTTGTAGGCGCTAATAGGTGTTACATGCCGACCGCCGCGCCGAGGGTTTCTCCGTTCCATCTTAAGTTCTCGTCATCATTGCTCTCAGCGCCGCGTCATTCCAGACCAAATTCCGTGTTCGGTTTCTCTCTTAGTCTAAACTCGACTAATTAAAGGTGCTGTCTATTGTATCACAGAGAGACGACTAAATTAGAAATATACTCTCAGAAAATGAGAGATTTTGTCACCTTTTCTCGTTTGTAATTTTTTTTCTGATTCCGATTTTTCTTTATACTTAGCTACATTTAAAAATACTGCAAAATTTGCCGCCATGGGCCGCGGCCCATGTGGCCATCCTCTAAATCCGGCCCTGGTTCCTATGTTGAGTTGTTTCTGAATTATAAATCTTGAGGCAAGGCTCAATTTTTGATTGCTCTGATTTTTACTGAAAAGAAAGCTGCATCCATAAATTTCAGTGGTTTGCATCCAGTGGTTGATTTCATCGATTTTGTAGTCTAACTTGAGTTAGATGATAATACATTACATCGATTAAATTGGGTGAAAATATGGGAAAACTTCGATTTTAAGGAAGAAAAAAAAAACCAGTATATGTTTTATTAATGTTAAATTAATGTATGTTTTGGAATAGATATCGCCCCCGTTTTCTCCACATGTTTCATTATTCTGTTTTTTTTTTTTTTCATTCCTTGTTTTTATTACGTTTTTTTAATGCTGTTTTCTTAACTTCCATAAATTTCATACCATTTTACGGCATAGAACTCGACATTTGCCCCGATTTTCATTCTGATCGATTGGAAGTATCGAATGGTAATTCATCTTCAACCAAGTCCTTTGATAAATTCAAAGTTGCCCTATGGTGAAGATGAAAATAAAATGTATCATTCAAAAATATGTAACCTATATGGATACTTTTAATTGCCAAGCTTGAAGGACAAGGCGCATAAGAGCAGTTTTTGAAAGAATTGAGATATTGGTAATTTCACCTAAAAGTAGGCTCAAAATGTAATGTGAGAAAAATTCACTACCTACTAAAATCCAACTTTTAAGCATCAACAGATGAGTTTGCACTTCCTCCCCACCGTAAGTAAGGGTTTATGTAATTTGGAAAGTTAAAAAAGCACTTTTTTTTTTCAAAAAAGCAAAAACTGCACTTATGTCTCTTGTCCTCCAAGCCCCTCAATTCTTAAACCTATCCAAATAGATTGGTTGGAGTCCTCCCCAGATAAGTTCGAGAACTATTTTTTTTTTTTTTATTCACATTATTTTATTGTAAACATTAAGAACTTTTAGAGTGGTACTGGGAATTTCCACATAAATCGGTTAGAGCCAGAGAGACTCGAGA